ATGTACATTGACCCATAATCAGATGGCATTATATACACGTATATTATATATATATATGAGGTATGGGGAAAGGTTATGGCGTTATATACGCATCACCATCTGATCAGCTGGTATACGTTGATGATTTCGTCCACAGAGGCCGAGATGATATGATGGGATGCCCTCAGAGGCTTGATGATGTTATGTACTCATATATCTATGCATCGTATGATATTTACACGCATATGCATGACATTATAAATGTTTCACGATTCACAGAGATATCCAGACTTATATGTTGAGTTCTTTATACCATGTTTCTTTCATGCCTTACATACTCGGTACTTTATTTGTACTGACATCCCTTTTGCCTGGGGACGATGCGTTTCATGCCCGCAGGTCCCGATAGACATGTTGACAGTCCTCCTAGTAGGCTATCAGCTCAGCGTTAGGTGTTGGTGCACTCCACTTGCTTTAGAGTTGCCTATTTGGTCAGTGTGATTTTGGCATGTATTGATTGGTATGGTTGGGCCCTGTCCCGACCTTTATGACGTTTATATGCTCTTAGAGGCTTGTAGACAGATGTCATGTATATGGATACTTGTATGGCCTTGTCGGCCTATGTTTTGAGTGTAAAAATGATCTTGTCGGCCTTATAGGCTCGTATGTCACATGTATAAGGTTTTATATCATGTTGGGTCGCCCTATATCTAGTATTACCTAATGTTTTATTCTGGTTATCTCATGAAGGCCCTTCTGGACCATTTACCCATGATAGAATGATAAGAATGATACGTAAAATTGGTACTCATTTGAGTTAGGCATCGAGTGCTCGTCGCGACCCTTCAGTTTGGGTCGAGACACTCCCCCTGCTCAATAACCTCACCAGGTTGCTCCCCCTGCTCGGCAACCTCGTCGGTCATACTTTCTGCACTTTTGGGATAGTTAGAAGAAGAAGAAGGAATGGTAACAAGGTTAGTAATTATACCATTCTTGGCCTTCTCTGACATATCATCAGCAGTTCCAACTTCACTTTCTCGAAAGACTATATCTTTGCTTCTGATGACCTTCTTCTTTACAAGATCCCACAATTTGTACCCGAACTCTTCATCTCTGTATCTGATTAATATACAGGGAACAGATTTATCATCCAGCTTTGCTCTCTGCTCATTTGGTACATGTGCAAATGCTCTGCAATCGAACACCTCCAGATGCGAGTAGGACACCTCCTTATTGGTCCAAACTCTATCTGGGATGTCAAAGGCCAACGGTACTGATGGACTCCTATTGATCAGGTAACAGGCTGTCTGAACTGCTTTACCCCAGAATGACTTGGGCAGTTTAGCCATTCTGAGCATGCTTCTCACCTTCTCCACAATGGTGTGGTTCATCCTTTTGGCTACACCATTGTGTTGTGGAGTTCTAGAAACTGTCTTTTCATGTCTAATCCCATGGCTCGAACAATACTCTTCAAATTCCCTTGAAGTGTACTCACATCCATTGTCACTTCAGAAACGCTTTAGCTTTTGTCCTGTCACCCTTTCCACCAGAGCATGAAACTTCTGGAAAACTTGAAACACCTGATCTTTGGTTTTCAAAATATAAACCCATAATTTTCGTGAAGCGTCATCAATAAAAGTAACAAAATATTTGTTACTACTCATCGATTCAATTTTCATTGGACCACAAACATCAGAATATACTAAATCAAGCATATTTAATTTTCTTTCAGACGATGTCTGAAATGAGACTCTATGTTGCTTACCAAATAAACAGAAGTCACAAGGTTTTACCGTTATGCCTTTGGCATAAGAAATGAGTGATTTCCTAGCAAGAATCTACAATACCTTCTCGCTCATATGACCCATTCTTTTGTGACACAAATCTACAGAAATCTCATTTTGTGTCGCGTTCAATTCACCTTGGCATATTTCTGCATTTGTCTTGTACAACGTGCCACGAGCAACTCCCTTTGCAATCACCAATGATCCCTTGGTGAGTCTCTACTTTTGATTTACAAAGTAGTTCTCGTATCCAACTCGGTCTAAAGTAATTACCGAGATCAAGTTCATCCGCAAATCAGGTACATGTCGCACGTCCTTTAGAACCAATGTGCATCCGACATTTGTCTTGATACAAATGTCACTGATCCCCGCAATCTTTGAGTAACTTATATTACCCATTCTCATAGTGCCAAAATCACCTACTACATATCTACAAAAAAGATCTCTTACCAGTGTGGCATGGTAAGATGGTGATGTATCAACCACCCATTCCGACTCTGGACCTGACAAGTGCATGCATTCCTCATTCTCATTTATAAAGAGGGCCACATTATCATTGCTTTGCACCATGACGACTGTGTTGTCGTCATTCTTCTGGCCACTGCTTTCACCTTTGCCATTCCTTGAATTTGGGCAATCTCTTTTGAAGTGACCTGGTTGATCACAATTGTAACAATTTCTTGCTCTTGATTTCGATCGGTTCTTAGACTTCCCACGAGCTCCGGATCTACCATTGTTGCACGAACTCCTTTGATAACTCTTGCATCTACTTTCTATGATGAGAGCATGTCCTTGATTTTCAGGCTTCTTTCTCATCTTCTCATTGAGTAGAAGAGTCGATGTGACATCTTTCAACTCAATGGTAGTCTTACCGTACATGATGTTTGTTGTCAGATTATCGTACGAAGATTACAAAAAGTTCAATAGCAAAATGGCTTTTTTCTTCTTAGTTGATTTTCACTCCGAGATAGGCGAGCTGTGTGATTAGTCCGTTAAACATATTTAAATGTGACAAAAAATTCATACTTTCACCCATGTGTAGGTCGTATAGATGTTTCTTCATGTACAATTTATTTGTTAGTGTTTTGGACATGTATAGGCTTTCCAGCCTTGTCCAAATGCCACGTGCGGTGTCTTTATCAATGATGTTATTTACCACATCATCTGATAAGTACAACCTGATTGCACTAGCAGCCCTTTTATCCAAGTCAGCTCATTCCTCAGCTTTCATGGTATCAGGCTTTTTGGCATCAGCATCTAGTACCTTGTGTAATCCTTGTTGAATGAGCAGACCCCTCATCCTTCTTTGCCATGTTGAGAAACCGTTATCTCCGTTGAATTTTGCTACCTCATACTTTACTTCGGATATTTTTTTCATCGAGTATAGTACTACCGATAGTGAATAATACTTCTATGAGCGAGCAGAACTTGTGCTCTGATACCAGTTGTTGGGAATAAACCCCTATAGAAATAATATTCATAGTAATAAACCAAGAGGGTTGCTCTAGTGGTAAGCACTCTCCACTTCCAACCAAGAGGTTGTGAGTTCGAGTCACCCCAAGAGCAAGGTGGGGAATTCTTGGAGGGGGGGAGCCGAGAGTCTATCGAAAACAGCCTCTCTACCCCAGGGTAGGGGTAAGGTCTGCGTACACATTACCCTCCCCAAACCCCACTAGTGAGATTATACTGGGTGGTTGTTGTTGTTGTTGTTGTTGTTGTTGTTGTAGTAATAAAAGCGAAATAATAACGTATTACCGAGATACGGTAATTAATAAGAATAAAAGAGTGACAACAACACCAAGATTTTTACGTGAAAAACCCTTTTGAATAAGGGAAAAACCACGGCCCCGAGATGAGCAACTGATATCAGTATAGCAAAGAATTTTACACTTTGTAGGTCCGAGTAAAATACTCCAAAGACCACTACAATACTCAAAAGAAATAACCTTCTTTTGATATTCCCATCTCACTACAATAACACACACTCTCTATTTTTCTCACAGACTATTTTCTTATACCTTGTCAGTGAAACCTTACTCTTTCTTTTTCTCTTTGTTGGTGTGTAGAAATGAGAGCCGAAACTCTCCTTTTATAGTCGAAGCCTCACTCTCTGAAGCCTACTATATTTGACACTTTTCCTTCCTACAGATTTACAAATCACATAAGTGCCTACCATATTTGACATTTTTTCTTTCTGCATCTTTGCAAATCACATAAGTGTCTAATCATATTTGACACTTTTCCTTCTTCTTTTTTTCTGTCATTTATGGGGATGGACCCCACAGTCGTTCCCTGCCGCATCATATTTTTTTAATGTTGCTTTTCATAGTGAGAGTAAATATATGTTCATAGCCTGTTAAGCTTTTGTCATTATTTTAATTTGTTTACCTTACTTCAATAATCAATTTTTATCATTTTAATTTCTTTCCTTTCTTTTTTCTCTTCTTGCCACGTTCGTTTCAAATTGAAAAATTTGGCTAGTTCAATATTACTGATGAAACACGTGAATCGAACTCTTTGATTTTATAAAAATTCCAAGTGTATAAAAAGTTGTACACTTTTTGTTCCTCGGGGACATCTTATTAAAAGAGAAGCTTCATATAACCTTTTGTCGATGTTAAGAGATTGAATAGCTTTCATTTATAAAATAAAAAGTAAATATTATATTAAAATACCTTAAATGAAAAACACAATTTATTTAGTATATAATAAATTTTATAGAACATAATTTATTTACATTTTTTTTTTTTAAAAGTTATGAAGTCCTTCCAAAATGGTTTTAATACTAAGTATTTGTTTAGAGTAAAGAATGCTTTTGTTACTACAAATATCTCAAGTCTCAACCATCCATCCTAGCTTAAACGATGTCCGGTTTATGTCATGTTCAATTTTGCTCTTGTTATCAACTTCAAAGAATAAATAATTTCAATGTTTGCACATGTCTTATATCCCATTGGATCCAAAAATTCACTAGACTTTTAATGCTAAGGTGCTATGTATTTTTATCTATCTTTGTTAGGACCCAAGTAATCAGAAGAGTGTCTCCTTCAGTCCTTTTTATTTATTTATTTATTACAATGGGAACTATATGACTAGCATTTATATCCATACTACTCCCCGCAAAAGGATAATGACATCTTCGTCTCCTTTAACTCGACAATAATTGACTCAACTCGATAACGTGAGTCTTTTTAACAGTATTTCCAACCCTTTTTGTTCACTCAGTTTCCTTGCTGATTGAGATCATTCACATATGAAAAGTGTTGATGTTTAAATAATATCCATTACTTTTATATATATTTTTGTGATCAATACCCGATATTGTATGAAAATTGACAAGATAACTATGTTCTTGGACTTCCTTGCGCTATCATTATATAACTTTTATCTTCCACTTTGGAGGAAAGGTAATAAGTTTCTCACTTGCAAATATTACATCCGCTATAGAAAGTAGTATAAAGTTATCCTCTTCTACAAGATATCTGGCATTACTTTATATACTTATTACACTGCGCATAAATTGGGAGCTTCAGGTAATTTCAAATTATAACTTTTTGTTACCAAATATCTCTATCTGAATCCGATGGTAACCACTGCTGTCCTAACCAGAAACTGTCTTCGTCTTATATACTATGAACAGGCAACGAAGGCTATGGCTATGTGTAGAGTACAGGTTTCTTTAACCTCAGAAGCTATTAAGACATGGTTAGGTTGTTCTAATCCTACGTTGTGATCTTCAGCTTGTAAATTGTAATGCAAACAATAGAAACATGTTTGCCCTTTTGCTCTCTGTACTCTATGCCGTTGTTGAATGTTATGAACTAAAGTAACATACCTGTATTTATCGAGTCCCAAACTAACAAGCTTTTTAGTGGAAGCGCAACAACTCATTAGCATAAATCACTCTTTAAAGTAAGGTTGGAGTCGATGCAATTTTGAGTTGGTTAATTAATTGGGTTCAGGCAGAGTGGTCTGGTCTTGAACGCGTTCTCTTGATAATAAAATTTGTTAAAATGGAAATTTTATGAGTCACATAATTGATTCACTTGAAATACTTTTTAAAAAGTATTAATATAATTTTTCATTATTTTCAAATACTGAAGTTCACTATTTACAAATGCTGATGGTCGAACCAGTATTTCTAAATACTGATAGCCAAGATAATATTTGCTTGGCCAGGACTATTTGCCACTGTTTAGTTTCAGTATTTGAACTTCAACTAAAATATTGAAATATTGTACATACTAGTTTCTACAACAAATTTTCAACTTTGTTCTCAAAGTGAAGTTCACTTCTCAACTTTCTCTTTCTCAGTTTCAAACAAATATTGTCTAAACACCTACAAAGTCTAATGATGTTCCAATAGGGTGGGGGGGTGCGACTAATAAAAAAGTACTACAGTAGTTTATAAGTTCAAATTAGCTGACTTAGTATACAATTATGTGTACATATATACAGAAGTATATACAGATCATACTTAAATTAATTTTCTTATGTTGTTCATCTGTTTTTTAATTGTATAATTTTAATGCATTTTCAGTTTTTCCTAATTTTAAGTTTCTATTTTTTCCAAATTAACATTCACCACTTCGATACAAGTTTCTTCATACCAATTACCAAAAGTCCCTTGTTCTATGCCAAGGCTCCGCCCTGGAAATTTAAGAATATATTTCTATAAATAAATGCCGTGACCCTCTTTCTAAATCCAAGGCCCTATTTCTTTTTCTTTTTATTAATTGTGTTGCACGGGTCAATTTGTGCGCGCCTAACCTCAACTAATTTCAGGGTATCAGCACACTAGCATATTTATTGAATAACTTCGTCTATTAAGGCTTTCACTTAATATTTTTATCCCCAATATTTGAACCACCTCATAATTCTCAACAATTTTATTGACCACTAAGTCACATCCTTATGCGCATCCGAGGCTCTATTCTTATCAACTAAGAAAACTACATCAGAGAACATTATGCAAATATAGATAGGGAAAAAAAAGGTGAAATTAAATTATCTACTATCAGGTAGACCAAGAATACGTGCAGTAACGGTATTTGGCTAAAATTAGAGTCAACTATTGAAATAGCCTAAGCATACACTGTAAATAGAATGCAGACATATCTAGCTCATTAACGTGTGCTACAGGTTTATATATGTCTCAATGCATGATATGATACTCGTGAATTGCCAGCACACCAGAAGACTGAGTCACAGATGGAGAGAATATTGAAGCATACTAAAATATTAGCATGAATCACATTCATCATTTACAAATATACGCAAAGTCTATGCTTTTAACCTTGGACCAAATCACCAAAACCTTTTGTTAGAACCAAGTAGCTGGTGACATAATTATATTTTTTATGGTTGTTGAATTTNGAGGCGGCTCGAAATAACTTCTTCTTTTTTTTTTCAATTCTATGGGGGTGCGGTTAATTAAAATTCTTACAAAATTACAACTTTCCCGCCTATGCTAATTTTCTTCGGCTTTCATCTTCCTCTCTCGGTTCTCTTATCTTATGAAGACTGAAGCTATCCTCGTAATTTAATAAAAAGCTTTTGACTAGATTGTACTGTCGAATCTAGCATCTCCTATAAGACTTGTTATTTGTTATAACTGAATTGACCTATGAAAATCAAAGTGATATAATCTATTACTCCTATTATTCTATTCTTGAATCCAAAGGAAATTACTTTTACGTCCTTAATTAATTCAGAGTAGTTAATTTCTGAATTCATCAAGGATTGTCCTAGTTTAAATGGAACAACTTGTAGCCCTCCAGGTTCCTCTGCAAACGGGACATCTTACTGGTTCAGATTTAACTAAATGGAACCAAAATAGACACATTTTTCCAGTCAGTTTTTTATGATTTTTGGTTCCATTACAAACTAAGACTGTTAGTTTAAAAGATTTTATAGTGTATACCATTGTGAAATGAGAAAAATCACTTCGACAATTCCATACCAACCTTAAATCCTTATCAAAATGAAAATTCCAGCCAAAGGATTAAAAAGAAATAAAACTAACAAAATGACCAACTTAAAAAACAAAAAATAAAACTTTAACGGGGCGGGTGGACGACGCGGGTGTGGTTGTGGGGCGGGTGTACTCGGGAGAAAGTCGAAATTTTGCGGGTTAAAACGTCCACATTGTGTTTGGTTCTCTTCTTTACTTTGATCGTTATCTCTGTTCTTCCCATTTTCCAGTGATACAATAAAAACCATGATCAGGGAAAGAAACTCCGAATTTCTTCTTGAATTTCCTCTTCTTTCCAACATTGAAAAAGGTTCACGGAATCCTGAAGATCATGACAAGTGGTGTTGTGATATAGCTGAGGCTATTGAAGAGCTAAAGAAACAACTAGAATTAGCAGGACCTCTTGTTCTTGTGAGTTTTTTGCAGTACTTTTTGCAGATGATATCTATCATGTTTGTTGGTCATCTTGAAGAGCTTCCTCTTTCTAGTGCAACTTTAGCCACTTCTTTTGCTGGAGTAACTGGTTTCAGCTTCATGGTAAGAATCTAACTGGAACTTAAATTAAATTCTATCAGATTAGATTGGAACATTTAATTTTCTCCAATTATTGTTCGTATGATTGTCTGGAGTAGTCTTTAAATTAGTCGGAAAAGAACTCCATTAATTGCATGGTTCTAATGACTTAATTCGATCGTGTTATAATCTCTCTCTCTTTTTCTTTTTTTGGATTATCTGTTTTTGGTTTGTGATACACTATAACATATGAATAGCTAGGATTGGGAAGTGCAATGGAAACATTATGTGGACAAGCTTATGGGGCAAAACAGTATCATATGCTTGGGATACACATGCAAAGAGGTATGCTTGTGTTGGTGGCTATTGGCATTCCCATATCGATTATATGGGCATTCGCCGGGCACATATTTGCTTTCTGTGGACAAGATTTGGAACTTTCAATCCATGCCGGATTGTATGCTCGTTGGTTAATTCCCAGCATTTTTCCTTATGGACTCCTTCAATGCCAACTAAGGTTCCTGCAAACACAAAGCAGAGTCAAACCACTTGTGATCAGCACTGGTTTTACGAGTTTAATTCATGTCTTCTTGTGTTGGGCATTGGTTTTCAAATTCGGTATGGGAAACAAAGGGGCTGCACTCTGTAATGCCATATCTTATTGGATTAATGTGCTGCTTTTGGCCCTTTATATAAGGTTTTCATCATCATGCAAAGAAACATGGACGGGGTTCTCCAAGGAAGGTGGAAGAAACCTTCCCAGTTTTCTATCATTAGCTATCCCTTCAGCACTTATGGTCTGGTTAGTTTTAGCATATCTTTATTCTTAAGCCGTTTTTCCAATGTAGATTAAGGGCAGTCCGGTGCATAAAGCATCCCGCGTTCACGCATGGTCCGGGGAAGGGCCGCACCCCAAGTGGTGTGATGTAGGCGGTCTACTCTGATGCAAGCATCAGTGGCTGATTCCACGGCTCGAACCCGTGACCTATAGTTCACATGGAGACAACATGACCGTTGCTCCAAGGCTCCCCTTCGTTATTCCAATGTAGATTGTCCATCCAATTGTTTGCTCTTGCATATGTCATAGTAGTAGAAATTTATTTTTCTTCCTTTCTGTCCCTATTACCGTGTGATCTGGTATGGCCTTTTGGACTGGGAACAAGCTTAGAGCAGTGGTCCTATGAGTTTCTGGTGCTCATGTCAGGGCTGCTTCCAAATCCAAAGCTTGAGACATCTATGATGGCCATCAGGTTAGTACAGAATTCCCGTTGTGTACTAACTCTTCTTGGTTACTTTGTGTTGGTATTTTGGTATAAAGCTTTATTTGATTCAATTCATCACCCATATTAACTCTTTTCACCTTTCCCAGCCTAAGTACCAGTTCTCTGGTCTTCAGGATTCCCTTTGGATTTGGTAGTGCAGTAAGGTAACTTGCCAAAAAATCATCTTTTTTCTAGGTATAATCGGAAAGGAAAGGACCAATATTGTGTGTAGTCACTATTTTAACAAATTTTTCGTGTTGTTTGCTCTTTGTTTTGCGGACAATTTAGTACGAGGGTAGCGAATGAGTTGGGGGCAGGGAGACCGAAAGCAGCAAAGTTAGCAACACGCATTGTCCTACTTCTTGCTGTGGTAGAGGGTCTGGTACTGAGTGGAATAGCAGTTGCAGCAAGAAATGTGTGGGGATATATATACACTAACGAAGAGGAAGTTGTGAAATATCTAGCTGCAATAATGCCAGTGCTTGCATTATCCAACTTCATGGATGGAATCCAAGGAGTTCTTTCAGGTCTGAACTCAAAACTATCTAATAAAATTTGAAGCCAGTTCAATCAATTCGACGATATAGAATTGCTTAAATACAGAATTTAACTCTATTGATGATAACACTATTAAAGGTATTGCAAGAGGATGTGGTTGGCAGAAACTTGGTGCACTAGTCAATCTTGGAGCCTATTATCTTGCTGGACTTCCTTGTGCAGTCATTTTAACTTTTGTCTTCCATTTTGGAGGAAAGGTAATAAGTTTCTCACTTGCAAATGTTACATCCATTATTGATATTTTTTTTTTGTTTGCCACTGAACCTATTAGCACCTCTCACTTCATAGAGTCGAGAGTTTATATGAGGCTCATATTGTTTATTTTATGCCATGGTGATGGTAGCAGGGTCTTTGGACAGGAATTATAAGTGGAAGTGGTCTTCAAGCGTTAATTCTTCAACTGATTACCTTATGTACGAATTGGGAGCTTCAGGCAAGTTCAAAATCTAATCTTTAATTACAAAACATATTTTGCTATCCGATTGTAGTAGAAAAGGAACCACTATTACTCTGATTAAAAACTCTGTATGTTTTGCACAGGCAAGGAAAGTCGAGAGTAGGGTACAGGTTTTTGAAACAGCTAGTATGCCATGATTCAGATGTTTCACAAATATTACGTTGTCACTCTTGCCATACATAAAAGTTAAAGATGTAGAGAGACAGATAATTTTGTTCATCAGATCATTTAATTTGTTGTCATTAGTCATTACCCCCACATTGTATAGTACTTTCTTTTTTCTTATCCTTCCTTTCCTTTAATACAGGGAATTTTAGTTGTTTATAGATTTCAAAAGTGTAATAGTAGAGTGTTACCAGAAGGTGAGAGGTAGAATGTGAATGAATAAATCAGCTTACTGTTGCAGGGCTACAAATTAAAGTGAGTTAACAACACATTGGATTCAAACATACAGTAGGTCTAAAGCCCCCGGCTAAATGCTTGTACGATGACAACTGACAAGCAGCATGATTTGTAACTAACTATAACGTCAACCAAAAACAGCATTAATTCACGCTTCTGATTTTGGTGCCACAAATATATTATTTCTTCCTATATATTCATTAAATTAATTTTAATTAATTGTTACCTTGACATAATAGAATATATAAATAATGACAAATTTTGAAAAATTAAAGTTAATTCCTTCTTGATTATGTAAATGGACACTTATTTTGAACTAAAATAAAAAGATAAAATGGTCACTTATTGCATACAGGATTGATGCGATGGTTATTACATTGGATAGGGACTTAAGTGGCTAACAAAGATGAACTTCCAAATGTTATTTTTTGGTTTTTTCACATGGTTACATGAAAGTAGAAATTGTCTAATTGATAATTTTTCAAACTCAGTGACTCTAATATTTTTTGAATTATTATATCTTAATCATCAAACTGATTTTTTGGAAACGCTTTGAAGAAAGTTATGAAGACAATGATTTACCATAATTCTGATCATAGTCCAAATTACCATCTCATTTATTTCTTCAGTTATAGAAAAGTAAACAAAAATAGAAAACTGCAAGGTACAATCAAAAGAGAAGAAGATGAGAATATACCATAAGATGGGTTTACCTTAAATAACAAAATCTAACAAACAATCATGAAGATCATTCCTTTTATCTTTTCTAAAGTTAATTATAGCGACAGAATATAATGTATAGGCAATAATATTTTGTTTTCTTAACATGAAGAAAATGAAATAAAGTTGGTATAATAGTACTATCTACCAAAAACCATGTACTCCGTCTCCTAATTTGCCAACCTTGCCATGTGAAACCACATGCCTTCCAATTCCTTTCTTCTTCCAAATCCTGACATGAATTGGTTTTACCTCAAATATTAAACACTACATTATTAACTACTATTAATGATTAAACTAACAGCGATTAACATCTTCTTTCCTCCTTCAATTCTTTTTATTCCTCCCAAACACCCATTAATTGGCCATTCTCCTAAAGATTCTACAAGTCCCAGAAAAAAAAATACAAACAGACACGAGAAAACATGAATATCTCGGAACAAAACCTTTTCAACACGACCACTACAACCACGACTTGTTTGTTTTTTCTCTTGATTTCGTTATCTACTACTACTATTTTCTTCTCCTCTGGTGACAGGGAAGCCGCCTCTGTTTTCCCTTTTATAGCTGCCGCCGCTTTTGCCGCCGTTGTGGTGGCCGGACTCATTGTCCTGGCCGTCAGAACCACCATTGTGGCGTGGATCACGGTGCTGGTACTCTTAGCTTTCGTCGGAAAGCGCCGCCGTGTTCTTGCTAAGGATGGGAAGAAGATTACATCGGAGGTGGCAGTTTATGTGGCTAATGAAGTAATTAAGGAGAAGGGATTAGTTGCTATCTCTGGAGTTCTTATGATTCTGGGTTTAATGGCATTGTTTTGAGCGCCTTATCATTAATCTACTATTAACTCTCACTAATTATATTACAAATTACAACTTTTAATCCACTTTTGGCATGGAGAACACAGATAGCTTTTTTGTTCTAGCACAATTTATGAGAAACAGACCAAACTTCGTATTCTTTCTCTTGCTCTCTTCTAACTTTATACTGTTTATATTTTTGGATCTTGGGCTAAAATTTTGATAGAGCCAAGTTCGCCTCTAGGATATTGTAGTGTTCACATTAAATGTGTCACAGTTTTTATATACTATAATCTAGGTAGCTTACAAATTGATTCTTATTCCAAGTTAATGTTTTTTCTTCGTTGTCCTGTTAATTTAGGAAGCTATTAATCTAATAAGAATGCTATTTTCATCACTGCTCAATCAGGATTCAACATTATATTCCCAGATGCAAAAATTTTATTTCCCAGTCTGGCCGATCGTTATCTCCTTTTTTAGCCAAATAATTTACATCATATTGCTGTATCCTGCTTTTGCAGTTGTGCACAGTCGATGGTAACAGGTAATGATGTTACTCAAATCAATTTCTTTCCCATTGAAGGAAGCTTCCTCATTGGCTGCATTTGAGGTTGGGACAATATTAGCCAATCACGCGGCCACAGTCATCCAACAGTTGTACAAGTAGACTGGCGTCACTTGCATGTATTGGGGTTTTCTGTTTATTCTTTTCAAGAAAAAGGCTGATAGCTTATTTGGCCAATTTTTATTTTATTTATTAAAAGTGGATTTTTTTTCTAAAATTAAGATATTTGATCAAGCTTTTAGAAGGAAAAAGTATTTTTAAATAGAAACAAAATCAGTTTTTGTGAAATAGAAAAATAATTTCTTCTCAAAACGCACTTTTAAGAAAAATACACTTAAAATACATTTTAAAAACTTGGTTAACCACTAATTGCTGCATAAAAAGATTTTTAAAATTAATTAGCCTAACATAAATTGATCATCACCAAAAGTACTTTTTAAAAAATATTTTTAATAAAAGTACTTTTCAAAACAAGCTTATTTTAAAAGTTTGGTTAAACAGACTTTAATACATTATTTGCCGTGAGCTTGTACTCAAATTTATTTAGCACATATTTGAATAGAATAGATATTTTGATAAGAAATTAACACCATGATGTTCGAAATACCAATGGACTAATAATCTTGATGCTAACTAGAAAAAGATAGTTACGCTGTACAAATTAGTCAAAAGTAACAGATTTTTTTTTCTTTTTCCAATATATTACGGTCAAATCTCTCTATAACAGCATTGTTTGTTCTGATAATTTTTTAGTATTTATAATGAATGGTTATTATATACCTAGAACAGCATTTAATATTTAAATATTATTTGACTGTTATGGATAAAATCATTTTCTTTCTTAATGTTACACATAAAAGATAAAAGAAATTATTCTAAGTTTAAAATCTCAAAAAAAAATGCATATTAAAGAAAGCTAATATGATATTAATAAATTCAATGAAATCTTTGTCCAGTGAAAAAGATATGTACATATCTTCAGTATTAAACATTGTACATATAGGTAAAAAGCTTTTATAAAAAGATAAAATATAACATGAAAATTTTGTTAATAATTATGAATAATTCTAAAAAAAATAACTTTTATAATAAACGATTATTATATATAAATGTTATTATAAAGGGCCTGATTGTTTCACACCTTCTCAAGTTCGGAGGTTTTCTGCTTATTCTATGTTGAATTGCAAAGTTGCCTATAAGCTCACCTTCTATCAACTAGAGTTTTTATTGTTTTCCTTCAAATTTCTGTTATACATCACAAAATATTTTCTATATTAATATTTACTTTTATAATGATTGACATGAGCTACCGTCACGATCCGGAATTCCAACATCAGGATCGTGATGGCGCCTAACATTCACTTGCTAGGCAAGCCGACGTGAGATAGTTAAATAGCCAAATTTTAACTGTTTAAACAAAATGATGATAAATAACGAGAGATAGGAATTCAATCTAATACAACTCTAGCATAAGTCATGTAATAATATCTACTCCCAAAGATCTAGAGTCACGAGTACACAAGCAACCAGAAGTTCTACAAACAGAGTCTGAAATAAATATAATTGTTTCGAAAGAAATAAACAGTAAAAGAGGGATGAGGAAGGGGACTCCAAGGTTTGCGGACGCCAGCAGATCTACCTCAAGTCTCTCTATGCAATGATCCAAGCTGACGCACCTCACGCACCGCTGGAACCAATACTAAAATCTGCACAAGAAGTGCAGAAGTATAGTATGAGTACAACTGACCCATTGTACTCCGTAAGTGTCGAGCCTAACCTCGACGAGATAGTGGCGAAGCTATGGCAGGACACCCACATAATTAAACAGGTATGACATCAACAGTGTACAATTGGGAGAAGACATGCGAAAGGGGAAAAAGATACGATAACTACAACAGGTATGATATCACGTGATAGCCAAATAAATCGTCAATCAGTGAAGACAGATAAACAAATGGTATAAGGATGGCACGAGATAAACCTTCGTATTTTTACTCTCATCCTTACCATGAAATGATGACATAAGCAAAATGAAATGGTACGGTATCACCCTTCGTGCTTTTACTCTCGATCCCCTCATGTAACAATGAATAATTGGGAATAATGACACTGCATTACCCTTCGTACTTTTACTCTCGATCTCACCATGTAACAATGAACAAATGATATAAATGGCACGGTATCACCCTTCGTACTTTAATTCTCTTCCTCACTATGTATTAATCAATAAATGAGATAAATGCAATGGTACAGCATCACCCTTCGGGCTTTAATACTCTCCCTTACCATGTAGTAAAGATAATATAAATTCGGGAGATAAACAATGCGGAAAGTGTGCTTTACGTTAAATATGATGCCAAGATACCAAACTTCAACTTCCAAAATACTCAACCATTTATAGCTAAGCAATAATTATAGAAGGAATGATCAAATAAGTAATAATCTAACCTAAGGATTGATATCATAATTAAAAAGGCAACAAATCACATGGAAACAAGTTCCACCCGTATGCTTTATCCCAATAACAACGCATAAATGCTCGTCACCTCACATATACGTTGTACCCACATGTTAATCATATAGCAAATAGGCAAACAAGTCATAATCCCTCAAGTCAAGGTTAACCACGATACTTACCTCGCTCCGCAATCAAATCAAAGCTCAATCGGGGCCTTTCCTCTAAAATTCGCCTCCAAACTAATCGAATCTAACCAAAATCGACTCTATAACATCAAACAATGCTAGAGAAATCAATTACAATACATAAAGTTAAGGTCTTTACACTTTTCCCAAAGAGTCAACAAAAGTCAACCCTGGGCCCGCTTGGTCAAAACTCGAGGTTCGGACCAAAACCCGATTACCCATAGACCCCCGAACTCGGTTATGTAATTAGTTTTGAAATCCAACCTCAATTCGAGGTCTAAATCCCAAATTTACAAAAAATCCTAATTCTACCCAAATCCCTAATTTCTACCATGAAAATCCTAGATTTGATGTTGAAAACTTATGAAATATAATGGATAATTGAAAAAAAAAAGATTAAAGTCACTTTTCAATAAATTTAGGAAGAAAATTTCTTGAAAAAATCGCCTCTAGGGTGTTTATGGTTGAGAGTTTGTGAGAAATGACCTAAATCCCGTTTTTCCTCTTTTACCCACCTGCAGTTATCATTGCGATGATCGCAAAAGCGAAAAAGTCACTGAGCCTGCTTTCGTCGCTAATGCTATGAATATATTGCAAATGCAAACAAAGGTTGTCTGCAAATGCCAACAATCGACTTGCAAATGCCGTCGAATTGTTGCAAATGCCAACAATCGACTTGATAACCAACATGCATTTTCAAGTTATCAATTCTTTGCGTATACAACTTTGCATTGTGAGAGATAATTTGGATGACTTGGGCTTAACTTTGATAGCTTCCATGATGAAGTCCTTTAATTTCTCACCGGGAATCAGACCTTCAGGGGAGACTTGAATCTCTTTGGTTGTTATTGCTTGCTTTTCGGAGGAGTCTTCTTTCTCTTGTGATTTTTGAAGATTTAAAGGTCTTTGTGTGGATTCTTCCTCTACTATGCTATCCAATATATTTGTTAACTTGGAAAGTTTAACATCTTCATCTTGCATGCGCTTTGATAAGCTTTCAACTATTTTCGTCAAATTTGCAAGTTGTTCTTCTATAGTAAAAGCTTCAATAACCATTGCTTGCATGATCGCCGTAGATAATGAAGAATAATATAGATTATTGTTGGGATATAGCTTAGAGGTCTCATTAATGGAGACTACAAGATATCCAATGCTCAAGTCATCATCATCGGCTTGCATGAAAGGTTTCTTGGACTTAGATAAACTAAGTTGAGCAAGAACCTTTTCGATCCTTTCGGCGACATCGTTCCCTTATGGGTCGCACTTGTAGAGGATCTTGTTCCTTTTGAGGATGAAGATCCGACAATAGGGATTGATGCAAATGACACTTGAAGTATTTGTTGTCCTAAAGAGCTTACTTTACTCCGTGTAACTAGCCCAAAGTGTAATGACCCGATCGGTCGTTTTGAGCTCTAGTACGTCGTTCGATGGTTTGAGGCCTTGAATAGCTTCATTTCATGTTTTGTGACTTATACGTGTGGTCATAATTGAATTTCGGGAAGTTTGGGGTTGTTTCGAACGGAAAATTTTCAATTTGAAAGCTTTAGGTTGGAAGAGTTGACTAAGATTTGACTTTTGACTAAATGACCTCAGAATCGGGATTTGAAGGTTCCAATAGGTTCGTATAATGATTTCGGACTTGGGTGTATATTCAGGTTGAATATCGGTGGTCCGGGAGAATTTCGACGCTTATCATGAAAAGTTGGCATTTTGAGAGTCTAAGAATTTCCTAAGTTTGGTTTGAAGTGGACTTTGGTATTACCGATATCTGTTTGGGATTTCGAGCCTTGGAATAGGTTCGTATTATGATTTATAACTTGTGCGTAAAGTTTGGCGTCATTCCGGGATGTTTAAATATGAATCAGACGCGTTCGTTGA